ACGTTATCTCAACCAAGCCAGATAGCAAAGTATTGGGTTGGTGCATAATATCGTAGCGCTTGCATTTTTCATTTTTGCACGCAAACGTTTTGTGAAGAAATTAAAAACATAAAACTAATCAGGGATGTCCACTTTGCCATTATTTACGACTTTTATCCTATTTTGCAGAAAGTCACTGGATTTGGAATTGAAAAAAAGATGTTGGGCTCGCTCTCGAAGTCTCATTATTTCGCAATTTGTACGACATGAATTACGGCCTCGTTATATACTTAATTTTGAGTTAAATAGTTGTTAGGGTCCTTTGTTAGAGAGAGGTTGAGATAGAAACAACATGGATTCTGAAAGAACTTTTTGTGATATTGGACAGTATTTTATATTCTTTATGTGACTGAAATAACAGCTGTCGAAATGCCGATTTCTGCCGTCTGGATTTTCCAACTTCTAAGCATTATGTATGAGTACAAATATAATTTTGAGGGAAATGACGAAGTAATTTTTGTAGAGCGAAAAAAGCACTTTCAAAAGGTATAGGCGATTTTTAGGGTTTCTCTTGTACTGATTGAATTTATACGCCCAAAAAAAAAAACGCTACGATATTATGCACCAACCCAATTATTAGAAGCTTTCATGTTGCTATCGTTTGAGGTGAAACTAAGATTTCGTGGGTAGTAGGCTGGGCGAGTGGAGGGGCGCAGGATAAAAATTTGCCGTTTCAGCGGGCGTATATACCCCCCGCTCGACGGCATTTTTGGAGGAAAAAGTGGGCGGAGTTTGGTGGGTTGAGTGGTATCAGAATTAAATACTATAGAGAGGATGATGGTGGTCGAGGTGTCGAAAAGGGGGTCGTATCAAATCCACCTTGGGGGAGGGGGGTCGTAAAAATTTTTCAAAAAGTAACAACGATAGGACCGACCCTGGTGCGACATCCTGTATGCGCCCTCATCTTCCCTAATTGTTATATACCTCTACTTATCCAAGCGCCCAGCCGTTATTTGAATAACTTACTGTCAATGGTGCATGTAGATGGATTTCAATCCAGCAAGGAGTTGACGTGACGTCTTTGCGTTGATACTCAGCTCCCCATCCTTTCACGAATGACATTCGAATGATAGTCATCTTCGTCAGCTCGTAGGAAGCATCAAATCCTCGCGTAGAACACTCGGCAAGTAACTGAAAATATGGGTATGAGGATTTTCGCATCTAAAATTCGAGGCCCTCTCCCTATCATCGATTTTCTCTCACAGGACCATGGGCAACAGCCATTCTGCATACACATGTTCAAGGAGAAAGTCAAAGCCACTGGTAGGGATAATGGTGCCAAAAGGTAGACCCTCCTAAAGTGAGAAAGGGGTCCACATATTCGAGTTTTCCCTCTCCTCGCAGTGCTATATCTCGCCGTCATGTTACCGTCGACCTCGCATGGGTTTTCGGTGTTTTCTATGGCGCTTTTTGCTTCTCTCCCCACTCACATTCCTCATTTCACTTCTTGTCTAATTTTTGAACAATATGACACGCCGGTTCGATCCCGATCCGTGCCTTTAAAGAAGGAAAACGATCTACGAAGTTTACATGGTACATCATAAAGTCGATGATACATCAGAATCAATTCCTTCGAACCTCTAACATTTCTATTTCGAGCTAGTACCTCTACCTGTTATTGCTCTAAACCCGTCGAATAAAGGGAAGGGAGGGAGAGAGTCTACAGAACGGAAGGAATAATAAAAATTCCCTCGGACATCTGCATATTTTCGCAAATCCCTGAAAAACTTTATCCTACTAGTTCAGAAAATGCACTGGCAACGCCATCACTTGCATTCCCTCCCTTTGCAAGAAACTCAAACACGATTCCTCTTACAAGGGAGGTCTTTCAGGGCAAGGTGCGCTTTTTCAAAACGGTTTTGTGCATATTGTAGGGACGCATGTAGGGAACGCAAAACCATGTTTCATTTTCGCTGAACGGTTATAGCAGTACCAAAAAAGAAGCATAAGGTACTGTTAAGGGTTCGATCCCCCGTGGCGACTAAATTTTGCATTTGGGTTGGCGCCTACGGTTTGGTGCCAAATCGCGCTAAATATCAAAATCAGATGTCAAATTCATCGTCAGGACCATTTTGAAGCCAACAAGTGGCCGCCAACCTTGATTGCAAAATTTAGTCGCCGCGGGGATTGAACCATCAAGAGTATTATTCACCACTTTTTTGGTACTACTAAAACCGTTCAGCGAAAACGAAACATGGTTTTGTGGTCCATACATGCGTCCCTACAACATGTACTAAACCGTTTCCAAAAAGCGCACCTTGCCCTGAAAGACCTCCCTTGTAATCCTATGCATGAGTGCTTGACTCAGCATAATGTGTTGAAAGTGCTATAAAACCTGCTCACATCAATATGCAAAACCCCAGCTCTATTTGGTCAACATTGCGGTCGCAGAAAGTCAAATATCTTGCGTGGAATGATTAATGCGAAACGCTGATCGTTGCTCATCTATATCCCAACGTTAGCTACTCATCTTCGGCTAGCGGATAGCGTAATTCGTAATAAAACGCTCTGCTTTTGATGACCAGTGAGTTCGGTGGCCGTTCATCATCCGTCTCAATACGAAGCAAAAATGAGATGCACATGACACCTAATCAATCATTCAGTGTACTGTTTCTTGAGAGGATGTGGGAAATGCATGTAAAGATCAGGACATGTTACCTGCCTCATTGAAAGTTTACACTTTTTACATTCTAATCTTGCCTTTGTGTTACACCCTACGAGTGATTCTAGCCTAACCAGGGAGGTCTTCCAGGAAATGCCAAGCTTTTTCAAAACGGTTTTTTGCATGATATAGGGACACATGCATGGAACACCAAACTGCAGTTCATTTTTCCTGAGCGGCCCTCTGAATACCAAAAAAGGAGCGAAGAAAATTTTTTTAAGGAACTGCCGTTCTAGTTCACTTTTTTGTGACGTACATTGCACACAGCGTTGACCAGTCATATCGAAACGTTCTCATGAATTGTACATTGAAAACAGTGCGGAATTCGGTCAAAAATAAAACGATCTCCTTGGCATGTATTGAAACTGTTGTGTATTATTCATCAGCGCCGTATGAAGCGAAGCTATCAGCGGTAGTCGGATGGCCTAGTGGTTAGTGGTGCGGTCTGTGAAACGGAAGGGAAAGGTTTGTGGTTTCGACTCCCCACAGTGCCAAAGTTTTGCTTTTTTCTATTGTCATTTTCCTGTGATCGTGCACTCCTGCGCATGCATATAATGCGGTTTTATGTTCGTTTTGAGATCCTACGACTGCGAATTCGTATTGGTCTCTCACGAACTTGTGTGTGCATCGGAGAAATTTTATAACTCATAAACAAATTGCCCCGAAGGCTTGCAGAAGGCTAACTCAATGGACGCAGTAGACCCAGCCAGAATTATGACCAGAAAGCCCACCTGCCACTGTGTTTGACAAGGAGGAGAACCTAATGACATAGTCATTGGTGACTTCTCGCCAATCGTCGGCTTGAGTGTCTACCATTGTCTATTACGGGAAAGGATTTCGCATTCCGTGAAAGATGACAAGGAGGTCGCCTCCAAATTATCTACCAATGAGCCTGACGGGCTAGTGATCTATCTACCCATGGTCCAACTGTTCGAAGTTGGGACGAAATCTTAATTTTCCCTGAAACTTTCGGGTTAGGGGTTATTCGGCGTCCTGATTACGAATATTCTATTAGTTTTTAGCGTAAACGTCATTTGAATTCGCTATGACGCCATTGGGCGCTACGACGGCGCCGTTTTGGTATCGCAACTTTCTCCACCAGATTTTTTAGTCAAAATCAACGTATGAAGGTTGCTGTTGCTCCTAGTTATAGATATGACATCTGCTATTCACGCTGACATCCTTTTTCTTTGGCGCGAACATAAAATGCAAAAAAATTGTCACTGTGAGGATTCGAACTACGGACCACTTCATAACCCCTTTTTTGGTATTCAAAGGGCCGCTCAGGAAAAATGAACTATAGTTCAGTGTTCCATGCATGTACCCCTATATCATGCAAAAAACCGTTTTGAGAAAGCTTGGCATTTCCTGAAAGACCTTCCTCATAAGATAACAACAAACTCTATTTTACCCCGTTCTATTTCACCTTGCACAAAAAGGATGACATATCCATTGTGCACCAAAAGATAAGTAACCAACCCTTCTGAAGCACTGCTCGTCAAAGATTTTCAGAGAGCACTTGTTTGCAATTTTAACGACGGTTGTCGGATGGAAGCCATGAATGTAGTTGCAGTTCCGTGACTGTACAAAGATTGCCGAGTCGGACTCACATTCGGCGAACAGTGTACCCTGATGACGCACGTAGGTGAGCTTCACTCCTGAACGATATTCATCTCAAATTTAGCTATTTCTAGAATTATCTGAGGACTATTTTGGACGAAGTGAGAGCTGGTGGGCCACTTCAAGGGATATATTATGGGGTGACTAGAACACAACGAGGACAGGACGTTAGTGCTGTACAGAAGTGCTGAATATCCGACTGCTCCAAAATAGCAACATAACTGCTTCAAACATATTCCTTTGTACAGGAACTAATCATCGTTTATGCCGCACTTTTAGAAGCTGACTTAGTCCATCTTTACTGCTACACCTCTGACAATTGAGATTAATTTTCCAACGAAATTCGGCTCCGTCAATATCTCGTCCGCTAAGCGCAAAAACACTGTAGTCTGTGGTAGCGTTCTATCACACACGCTTGGCGTCGACGCCGCTTGCGTGGCTCCAAGCCAAGTTACCCCGTGGACAAGATTTCAGCGAATTTGATGGTCCAAGATGGTTTTGCTCTGGCGTCTGTAACGGTGCGGACGCAAAGCGCTTCCATCTCCGGAAGATGTAATTTCGTCAGCTCCAGGTCAAACAAAAACTCGTGCCTGTTTTCGAAAGGTGTGGCACAGTAAAGACTAAATAGTCGCCGATCGATGACAACAAGTGACTTCGAATTCTCTATCCCTATTTTCGCTCGCTTGCTTGTTGCTTGCTTTTGCTTGTTACCTAATTTCTGAGATATCGGAAAAAGAGAAACCAACCTTTTCCGATGAGCCGCCGTGTATTTTCAAATCGGTGGATTCCTGTTGACGTTCGAGAACAGTCCCAAACTGATTTTCTGTGGATTGTTCGTGGGATCGGTGTAGCCGTCGATGTAGACCGGTGAAGAAGTCACCTGTAGAACGACAAAATGAGTTTGTCAGTCGCTGTTCAACCTCGCCACCTTGTGCCCGAACTCATGCGCAAAGTGAATGCTGAACAATACGAATCAGTGACTTACGCGAATTTGTTCGCCAACTCGAGTATTCATCTCGTAATAGCTAATGGGTCGCCCAGTGTTCTGGTTGGACATTGACCTGACCAAGTTGAAATCCCCCATCAGCGTGCACTCTCATGTGCGGGAACTTGTGGCTCCGTCTCGGAGCTGCTGCACGCGGACGAATCAAAAGCAGCGAGTTGCGCGGCGTGATGCGCGGCGATCCGAACGGTTCGCGGGCTCTGCAATAGAACTCATCACGTTAAAGGGTGCTGCGGATGAACCCGCACGAATCTGCGGTATGGAAAAACTTTGCGCGCGGAGATTTTTCAGCGCAGGAGATTAGGAGAACTGTCAGCCGCAATAGAGTTGGGAGCAGGGTCGGTCCTACGTTGCTACAAGTAGCAACGGGGGGTCGTACTTTGATGAGTTTTTAGAGGGGGGTCGTATATTTTGATGAGGTTGTAGGGGGGGTCGTACTTGCTTCGATTGTGAGAAGTTGCATGAGGTGAGGAGTGGCGCGGGAGAAAATTTGCCGTTTCAGCGCGCGTATATACCCCCCTCTAGAAAAATGAAGCCCCTCCCCCTCCCCGCTCGACGGCATTTTTGGAGGAAAAAGTGGGGGGGTTTTCGTGGGTCGAGTGATACCAGAATGAAATACTATAGCGAGGAATATGGTGGTCGAGGGTCGAGAAGGGGGTCGTACCAAATCCACCTTTGGGGAGGGGGGTCGTAAAAATTTTTCGAAAAGTAGCAACGATAGGACCGACCCCCCTGTGGAAGAAGGAAAAATCTACAGGAAATGGCACAACTATCATTAAAGTGATAAGAAACCCTAACGAGTTTTGGTGAGATAGTTTAGTGTCAACTATTTACTGATCGCGGCGCTCATGCCATTAGAAGGAACATTCAAAACAGGGTCAATGTTAGGTGACTAGAACTAAGCCCATAGGGGAGAAACGCCAGGGAGAACACAAATTGCTCACAACCTCCCCCAGAATCCCTTCCCCTAACCAGAGGAAGTGATATATTTTCTCCTTCTCTCTTCTATCTCTCCCCCCTCCTAGGCTTAGTCCCGAACACAGTAATTGGCTCACTCACTGACCGCTTGAAAGTCTCCCCCCCCCTAAACGATTTCCATTCTCAACTGTTCTTACTTGAGTTTTCTTACCAACACTGCGAATCGCAGAACTATGCGGATTTTATCCGCGGTACACGCTTTGACGTATTCAATTCCACTGCAAAAGCCCGCGAAGACTTGCCTCGTCCGGATCGCCGCGCAGCCCGCCGCGCGATTTGCCGCGTGCCAACCCGGACGAGCCAAAAGTCCGTCGCCCCACCTTATGAACCATAGTAAACTTTTCTGGATCTTATCTCTCGTGAATTTTTTGGGATCAAATGGCTTACCGCTATAGTCGGCACACTTGGCGAGAAGTTGTAACTATCGGCGTCGTCCACGTGCATTTGATTGAACTGCGAATGACTGAAATCAGATCGTATTTTTGAAGTAAATCAGTAGAAACTCTATTCAAAAAGAGGACCGCTGGAGCAGGAAAAGTGTTCATTTTATCGAATCCAGGGATAGGGTTACATTGGACAGAATTGGAAGCCGTGAGGACCAAGTGGAACCACAACTGTACCAAAAATAGTGGTACGTATCGTGTCCGCGAGTAATGAAAGGGAAAGTAATTGAATGATTGATCTCTTCTTGAAATGCGCCGCACATATGGTTAATTTTCCATTCTCGTACATAGCGGCAACTGAGTGCGACATGCTCTATGCAATGAATTGAAGGCAGGTTTTGCGATGAAAAGGCATCTCATTAGAAATAAGGGCAGAGATGGACAGTGATGCGCAAACGAAGAAAAAATCGAGAAGAACGGCCTGATAAATGGAATGCCTTGCTGGCCCGCTGATTTGCGCATGAAGTGACTCTCATCAGTGCTGCCCTCTTCAACGCTAATGCTCTCTAAAGGGCTAGAGACATGCGGCGACTGGTTAGCCTGTGAATGGGAGCACCACGCCGAGCCGCTACGAGGGCTATGCTGGATCACGGGGGCATATCCATCGTCACAAATTGCGCGTCAGCACGCACCCTGAGGAGGTCCACCTGTTTTTCCACTACGGTATCGTTTCCTTCCTTCTCAAAAACCTTCGAGACCTTACCGTGGAATCCACTTTTGAAGGGCCAGCTGATGTACAGTACGAGTCTATATTTTTATCGTCCTAGACAGATCCGACAGTTGACCAATTAAAGACGGATGGAAGGCCTGGGCAGGCTTTGATCTGGCACGTGACTCTTGACTCAGGTGTATGCGTGTGACCAGTTGGTACAGCGTAGGGTTAGGACAAGTGCCAACGGGGGGGTCGTAGTTTGTTGAGTTTGTAGGGGATCCGTCGTCCATTAGAGAGGTAGGCCAAGTGGAAATATGGATAAAATAGAGGGGAAATGAGGAAGAAGTAAAGGGAAATATTGGGGATTTTTGCGGTCTCATTGTAGTTATATATCCGCCCTCCGCCCCCTCCCCCCGGCTCGACGATGTTTTTTGAGGGGAAAAGAAGTTGTGAAGAATGGGTCGTATGAAATCTCTCATGAAGGGGGGAGTCGTGAAATTTTTTCGAAAAGTCCGAACGGTTGGCTTGAACCTGCGTGGTGGCCGCGCTTGCCATTGTCATCACACCATAGACCACGAATGAGTTGCAGCAAAATCGATTCTATAGATTGACTTGACCAAATAGTGAAGTAATGATGAGCCTGCTCCGCATCGACGGTAGAAAACCACTCACTCACAAGTACATGGGACCGCCACACTAGCATCGACGAGAGCCTTGATATCAAAGGTTACCCGATCGTAGTGTGACGAAAGTGACGAAGAAAAGTGTAGCCAGCAAAAATCGAAAAGCGGCTTTAGCGATCGTAGCTGGAGTGCCACGGCTTCCAGGAGAATGAATGATTTCTGTTTACCACAGTGAATTCGACAGGACATGCCCAGTCTGCGAGGCGTGCTTCCGCTTCCACTTCCGCATTGTCCAACCCTTCACTAATGCTGAAAGAACGCAACAACACTCCCCAGACCTATTTGAGATAATTGTTGAGCGAACTCTGCCAACCAGGTGTTTCAGCAATCTGGGATATGGGAGCGATTACTTACATGATTCTCGATGGCCGCTTGGTACTGGGAATGAAATTCGACAAGCTCACATCACAGATGATAGCGCGGCTCGAACGGAGGCAAGATATCGCGGTATTTTAAGTTCCACCCACGAGCAAACGGAAGTTGACCTTGCTCCATGCTTCGTAGGCGTTGATATTTTGAAGTTTTTTGTGCCTTTAAACAGTACATTAATATTATTGCAAAGTGTATAACATTCTTCACAAACTAAAAGCTTCTACAAATCAGGCACGCACAGGTTCCCGTCGGTCTTAACGTGTGAGATTGGAAGCCCGGCTCAGCATAGTTTGAATTTACTGTAAGACGGCCTAAAAGCGAGAAGAGTTCCTCAGCCAAGCTCGACTAGAGGGATTTTTGAAGGACGCAGACACGGTGTGGCGAAGGATTGTTGTAAACCCTGAAAAAGGGTCTCATTGTCCGCGTTAGTAGAGTGGCGTCGCACTTAAAAAAAGACATGACGCACCATGCCACTCACCTTTAGAACATGAAGAAAACTGGGACGTGAGCCTATCTGTCAATTCATGGGAAGCAATCGCCATTCAAAGTTTTCGCTTTTCTGACACCCTTTCAACCTTGATAAAGTTATATCAGGACGTTAGCAGCTAGTGCTGACGTCAGTAGCTAGAGAGCCTAACAACTTTCTCGGTTACTTGTTGCCTCGAGCGGTTGTCTTGCCCGCTTACGCTGTCGAAAAATTAGGGTTTGCTTAGAGTATGATCAATAAAATAACTAAAAGAAGGAGGTAAAGAGTGTCAGTGAGCGAAATAAAAAGTTGAGAGCTAAGCCGTTATTTCTTCTCACAAACCTGATGGATGAGCTCTCGAAATATGCTGGGATGACGTACGAGTTATTCATGCTGAAATCTGACTTGAATTTCCGGTTTTAATTCAGATTTTACTAACTAAAATTAACTAAATTGTGCTATGGAACGCTAAATCTTTTTAAAGTGCACTCGAGTTTAGCTCGGACATGAGACATTTTTTCTGTACTACGATCTGCGATGAAGATCAGCCCTCTGGTAGCCTTTGGAAATTCCCTTAGCTACGCCTAGCGTTGAGACTTATTATTCAGTTTAGCTTTTTACAGTAACCAAAAGACTGGAATCTTATTTTGAGTTAGCATGTAATAGCCGACAGGAGACTTGCGCGCGCTGCTTGTAGATGTCTTTGGTTGGCAAAGAAGTATTCACACTTTGCAGTGGCAGTAAAACGTACTGTATAGAGGCTTGAAAAACTTCTAAATAGCAAAGGCGAAGCATAGAGTGAGGTCTCCAGTTCAACAACGCCGCCTTAGCATCTGCTATGCGATCGTTCTCCGTCAGTGAGAATTCTAAGTAACAATGGTAATTGAACCAACTTGAATAGCCCGGCAACTTCGACGTTCTGCGGCATCGACGAACCGGACGCTTCCATGGCTTGCATTCGTCGGATTCCTGGCGGAATCGAAGCTGGTGGCAGTTCTGAATGTCTGTAACAAAGTCGATTTGTGTAGGATAGGATGACAAATGGCAAAAAAGTAAATGTCACCTTGGCACCAGCACCGGTGGCAGAACACCGTCGCTCTCGATGCGGCGGTAATGATAGGGATTGATGCAGATCTCCTTCTGCCCAGAGTCATAACAGTACCTGCAGACAGACTTCTATTTAACTGCCGCTTCAACAAACACATTTTAATCTTTGCAAACGGGGACAATAGAACGGAATCGCGGAAGCGCTGTGAAGCTCATAGCTAGGCACGAAGGAGCGTTTAACTCTCGATGTTTCTTAAGGTTAGTTCATGAATGGTGCCGCACCAGACTTACTTTCGCATATAATTCATTCGCATCTTAACCGCATAGGGAAACAAATAAAATGGCTAATCATATCATTCATTCAGAGACCAAAATCTAGAATCAATTAAAATGCCCACCAACTACCCATAAGAACTGTTTGCAATCGAGTGATTTGCTCCACCTCGGTATGGGTGTACAGTAAAAGCTTGAAGGAGGACTTTCACGATGAGGTCAAAGGTCGAAGAAGGGAATCTTACATACCTAGTGGGGAAGGGAGGTGGA